GGCAGCTGGAGAGTAAAGAGAGGGGTGGCGGCGGGGCTGTCACTCAAATTAGACCAACCGCTTTTACGTTCAGCTGAAACAGACCACGAGTGTGTCTCAAAACTTTGGTACACAGACCTCACTGACTGGAAAAAATATCTAAAAACACAGACACAGCACTACAGTTGCAATGTACATTAATCATTATAGTCACTTGTCTGCAATTCGGGCTTGCGCGTTGCACTACTGACATGTTTGCATATGTTCATTTCCATTCCCCTTGCCCTTTTTTTCTAGTCTTCCAAGTCTTCATCAGTGCTAAAGGAAGTCAAACTCACTGAACAAAGTAGCCATCAAGGTTCAGTTATCAGGAACTAAATGAGCCAGAAATAGATAAGTCTAATTTGCAACATGATTACCGTCTTAAGTTTGATGTGAAAATTAAACCCATGATTAAAGTGATTTCCAACTTTGGAGACAGACACAAAACCTCAGACGACAGCTGGCCCTCGTCTGCTGACTAAATATCCATTTAGTCCAATCCCATCCAGCATCATGGTTTATCAGTGTGAACTGTGTTTTTACAGGAGTGTCAAAACATGCTTTGCAGCAGCTTGAATTTCCACTGACAAATCAGACTACAATATTACCATAGCTGGGACACACAAAGAGTTGATGGCTCAGATGTCATCTATAGAAGGAAGCGATGGAACACCTCATGTTAGGACTTCATGTAAATACTTAATTCCTTAAATAATGTGCAGACCTTTAAAGCGGCAGAGAAACACACCTCCAGTAACATGAGTGCTGAGCTACATACATGGCCCGAGCATTACATGAAAGGTGTGTTTTTCTGTACATGCACATGTGTGTGTGTTTATGTGTGTGTGTGAATGTTTCTTCATCTCTTTTCATCTTTTGATTGCTTTAATTACAGACTTACTGTCAGCTTCCCACTCAGTGCGCAGGAAAAACAAACTCTTAGGGCACATGAAAAGAAGTCACACACACATACACACTCTAGTAACACACACCTATCCCAGCTCTAGTCAGCCAGTAGGCTCTTTGATTCTCTGCCTGCCGGTGATCTGTCTTTCATTGTCTCCTCTCCCTGATCCCTTGTTCCCCTCTTTAGCTCTGCTGGAGCAGAACATCTCTCTCCCTGTCTCTGTCTCTGTTTATTTTGCATCGGCTGTAGGTGGGAGGCCTAATCTGCAACCAGGAATTCATCTGAATGTATTATTGCTTCCCTCTAACTATGTTACTATAAAGGGATTGCGGAACAATGCCATCCCCTCAACTAAAAAGTTCTATATATTAGGATAAACATCTTTTGGGGAATGTTCCTTTTATGGTGCTTTCTCTGTTGGATGATTCCCTTGTTTCTAGACAATAGAGTATGGTAACGGACCATTAAAGAAAGTACAAAACACTCCACATCAGCAACCTTTTAGGAACCACACTGACTTATCAATTGTTATTACCACACAAGAATACCGTCACAATACTGCTCTGGTCTAAATGACCTTACTCAATGATGGTTACTGTTGAAATATTGGTTTTCTGTAAAATAAATTAGCTTTGTATCTGCACTGTTCATTTCTGTTGGTTTCCAGTTGTCAGCCTTGCATTAATAAACTGCAGGTGCATGCTTTCACCCTTTTTGGAGATTTCTCACAACATATCTGAGAGCTCTTGGAGTATTTCTTGCTTGCAGGTAATTCCAGGATGGATAGACGCCGGATGGATGTGGTCGTGGGGTCGCAAGAATCTTCAAAGTGCAAAATCCTCGTCAACCCATTGAAAAAGTAAAGAGTAAAGAATTTCAGTACTTACTTAGAGGGTTAACATTTGCTAACCAACAGAAGCATGCATGCCTACTTCTAGCAATGTGCCATGAGCAACACCAGGAGGACGTAACACAGATCACCCCACGTCCCACACCCATATGAACAGGTGCCCCGACCAACAACATGATCCTTCACCAGCTTCCCACCTGCCAATTGTTCCACCGAGCCAGAAGCACCACAGTTTGGGATTAAACCTGCCAGGGTGTGAAAGAGTTGTTCCTGCCAACACACAACAGTCTGGTTTAAGCTTCATCTTAAGGCAAGAAATTTCCAAAACCTGACCTGTCAGATCTCCCTCCACACACTCTGTATGGAAGAAATCGATGACTAACAAACTGAAGCAGGTTCCCCACATGGAGGACTCTTAAGTAGACACAAATTAGACCACAAACCCTAATTTGATTAAACTTGCTCCATGTTAATTTAGTATTGGTTTGTTGAAACGTCTGTGCGGCGCATGGGGAAATAATAGTGGTGACAGTGAAACCTATGATTAGAAAAAAGATTTTTTCCTTTTATGTTGCTTTGGTGGGATTATTGCATGTAAATTAAAATATAATCAAATGCAGCTACCTCTCATATTGCTGGCGAATCCAGACCCTTAGGGAGTCCAGAGGATCCACTGCTTTATTTTAAGTTACCTTGTCCGTCCTGGTGATTGTGAGTTGTGTGTTGAATATAGAACACAATAAGGTGAAGTATATTATCAGAATAGGCCTTTTCTTTATTATTTTAAGAACAGTGCATAAGTGTTGAGGACATGAAGAACCTCAGCATATGGAATAAAGATTATAGTATTTCATTAGAATAGCTACAGATACAGTAGTGGTAAGTCTTAATAATTTACTGTGCTGCAAACATTTACGCTTACTTTCCAGTGCTTTTAGTAAACTAAAATATACTTAAATATGAATATACCATTAATACTTCATGTCTACCAATTAACTAAGATACTCTATTTTCCACATACCTACGGCGAATACATTGTATTTCGTTTCATTCAGTCTCTTTAAAATTTACTTTAATGGTAAAAAAATAACTTTTTATGTTTTTCTATTAAAAATAATAATGCCACTCTTTTTGTTTTACTAGTACCATATGCTAAATCTGTCTTGAGTAATTTAAATCTGAGGATGAAGTATTTGAGTGGAGTCTTTTGGTACTTTTTAGATGTAATAAAAACCCTAAAAAATTCATTATCCCCGTAGGGAAGTTGAGGCTGAACATTTTGTTTCTTTAGATGTATCTTCTCCTGGATTGCTAGATTACCCTCTCCCTATAAATCTGGAAGTCTTATTACAATCATATAGCCTACATTAGATCCAAACTGTAAAGGTTTGCTGTAGTTCTTGCACATGGTCCTAGTTCTGGTGAGGCAGTTTGGAGAAAAGCCACCAAACAGCCCTGCCATATATTAATTGAGTAACCTAATGAGCTGAAATAACTTCACTTCCATATGTAAACTCTGTCTGACGTGTTTAGTGGAGTTTTGTCTTAGATGTGTGACGCATTATGAAACATTCAACCCTAACAGGCCTCCTGAGCTCTATAAATTTCTTGACGGGGGGAAATGGATATGCTGTGTGGATTGAAATCAGCTGTGACATAAATCTCAACAATAACTTTCACAAGAAAAACACAACAATGCCTTTCCTTTCTATGATATCGCTCCAAAGTATAAGAGCCATTGTGTGAATTCTAGTACCAAGCAGCTTTAAGCGACGGAGCAGCAAGAAAGTAAACAAATCATCTATTCACTTCAGTCTGTTATAGGATGATCATGACTACAGGCGCTGGCTTTGTTAGTTTCTCTGCCTTCATCCCTTTAATCCTCAGAAACCATATGAACTTCTTTTGAAGATGAGTTACACTCCCTCCCCTGTCTCTTCTGTATGTCTCCTTCGCCTTTCTACCTGTGAACATGAAAGGTTCAATGGCAGCAGAGACGCGCTGTGCTGGGGGCTGCAGGGGGAGAGAGACGCAGATAGAGAGACAGAAAGAAGGGGGGAGCAGAGACGGATTGATTTCCACCTCCAGCAGCTACAGTTCAAAGCCAGCCAGCAGACTTCAGAGGCTCGGCAGGACCCAGCATGTCCCCAGCCGGGCCGAGCTGCCTGTCTGCGGGCAGGACTTCCCCCGGGGGCCCCGGGGCCCGGGACAGTCAGGCGGCACCGAGAAAACAATTATGCAGACAGAGGAGAAAGGTGTGCAGGGTCACAAACGCACACTTGCTCAAACACACACAGCCAAAAATACAGTGTCACAGGCAAACTCACAGACACATCATATAGCCTACTATAAGAGTGATGTGGCGTATTTAGCAGCACTAAAATTATTTATTATGAATAAATGAATTAACCAAACGTCTTTGCTAGCCTACTTTATGAATTTCTATTATATTAACACTGATCAAAATCATCACAAGAGAATCAAGTGTTTAGGATTCAAAATCCATAGCCTTGTCAAAAAGCAGTTCAGGCCTAAACTGTGAAGAGAGTGATGTGAAAAACAATCTCATTTGTCTTCCACCCAGGGCTACAACCTTTGCACCAACATGTAGCCTGCAGTACCTTTCACATAGACCTACTTCAGGATGAATTAGAGAATATGCTTGTTTACAATGTTTATAAATGCTTTTATATTACTGTATATTGTACGCTAGGTGGCTGAAGGGAGTACAACCTGTTGTAATGTGACAAAGAAATCTACCTTGTACCCTTGTTACACACAGAGTGCAATGTATTTCATGTAGATGACATTCATGCAAATAATAACATATCCCTCCTATCTCATGCACTTGACAACAAACATATCTGCATGTATAGCCTGAAATGTAGCCAATACTTTGGCCAGCCGGTGGAATCAGCCTGTCAAAGAAATCCTGCTGAAAAGCAGTTTTGGTGTCACTTTTGCATATTTTGACAGAAAACAATAATTATAAACTAACAGATATATAATCTAATTTTCATTTTGACATGCATCAGCAGTGGTTATGTCTGATGCCTTCCTAAAGCAACACAGAATAATTATTCATACTTATTTTTCTTAGCGGTAAAATTACACTAAAGCACATGCTTGTTTGCCATCATAAGTATTGCTCAGGAATTTCCCTAAAGTCTTGCAGCAATCCGTCCTTGCATTCCTGAGAGCGGAGCTGCTAAGATGTCTTACCTGGAGCTCAGAGAGGGGGCACGCTGGTCTGGTTTCTCCGCTGCACTGCGGGATCGGCTGGCGGGCGATCAGTCCTGGTGATCGGTGATCAATCTCTAGCGTGGTGTCGGATAAGCATCGCCGAGGGACTAGCTGTCTGCGAGTTTTTACTGCAAGTTGTGTCTCAGCCTCCACTTTGGCGCATGTCGGTGTGTCTGCAAGCTCCTCCTTGATGTGAAAAAAGTGAGAAGTTTTCTCCGCCCTGAATGAGAAACAGATTAACGTGTTCCAGGTAGACAAATAGACAATTAACATGCTGCAGGCCACGACTCAACCCCGCCATCTAGTGTTCACAGGCATGTAGTGGCAGCACCATGAAAGTGGCTAAACGTGCATTCACTAATACAGCTTTAACTTTCACAACCACTGCTGTGTTTTTTCCTATTCTTTTATATATTGCTGTTCCCATACTCTCGGGAATATGCGCATATGCATGTGTGTGTGTTTACATACAGCCTTACATGCATGTTACAGTAGGGCTGTAGCTAACTATTTTTATACTATTTTCATTATCAGTTCATCTGTCAGTTATTTTTACAATGAATCAATGAATTGTTGGACAATAGCAAATAGTTGGACATGTCCAAAATGACATCTTCTAAATTGTTTGTTCTTTTGGTTCAGTTGTGAATGAATGAATTTACTGTTTGTAATGCATATGATAATGACAATAAACTTTAACTTATACAATTACAGCTACCATAACTATTACTGGTATTGCTATTGCTTACAGAATACTACTGATATTGCCACTATGACTAACTCTACTTCTATTTACATTACCACCACTCCCACTACAATTTCAACTAATACTATTAATACTACTACTTTTTCACTTCACTTTAATGGCCACACAACCAAGGTTGGTGCAATGTGTTTTTGGTACAGTGAAAACACTCAGTATGCCGCACAACATATAAGCAGACATGGAACATTTATAAATAATAATCACAATGTTTTTAGGTGGACAGAGAAAAGTTCTATCTAACTATCACCATTAAAGGACCTTACATGAAGCCCACCCCATACACACAAACACCTTATTTCAGATGATAAAATGTCTTTGAAACAGAAGCTATAAATTATTTTGAGTGTGTCTGTTTTTGTGTGATGTGGATGACTGGTGCCTGTTGTCTGCGTTGGACTAAAGCTTGGACTTTAGTCTTCCTCTCCTCCTCCCCCTTTCCGCTGCTTCTCCTTTTCCCAGCCACAGGAAGGGTGAGATAAAAGAGGGGCTTTGAAAACACCGGGAGTCCTGTAATTACTTACTCTCCCTCTCTGTCTCTGTCTTTCCTTCTGTCCTTATTTTTTAATTTTCTCATTATCTCTATATTCTTTCTCTCTCTTGGTCACTCTGCCTTTATTCCTTATTTTTCTCTGCCCCTCTCTCAGTCAGTCTCCTTCTCTCTTTTTCCATCCTCCTCTCTCTTTCTTCTCTCCGTCTCTGCAGAGGCTCATTGATGTCAATCCAGGGGCTTCTTGACTGAAAAGGAGGATGAGAGGAGAAGCGATTAGATGACAAGAGAGGATGAGGAGAGGATAACAAGAAGAGTGATGAGTTCTGCTGAGAGAATGATGGCTGCTCTGTCAAAGACCGGACAAAAATACATATTAAGCAAAACCTGTATTTACTATGATGGATGGTGTAAAACAAAAACACATGCAACTGACTCTGCATACGGTGAAATGGGGTATAACGAGACAGGATATGTTGAGATAATGTGATAATGTATGAGACGATACAGTGAGACGAGCTGAGATACATGAGGCATAATGTGACAAAAAACTTTAGACAAGCTTAGATATGATATGGTATTATATGATAAGGCAATATAACAGAAAATGGTAGAGGATTGCATATTCTTTACACACTGCATGATCTCTGTGGGAAATTGTGTTTCTTGCAACATTAGATACAGCACAGAAACAAAAGGATGGATTTTTTTAAATTAATGAAATAGAAAAATACATTGGGTTAGATTTCAGAAGTGACTGGTGTTTAAGGGAGAATAGGGTAGTGGTTAGTTTTAGATTAGATCTGCTCTCATTTAGGATGATCAGGCTAGGTACTTATTACTCCTTAAACTTACTGGTTACTTATTACTCCTTAAAAAAGTAATAAAATGACTTTACTTATTACTAGGTGATACTGGGTAACTAGTTACGTTACCACCCTCCCCTCCCCCCAAACAAAGCAGTCTTTCCCGACTCTCTACTTTTTAACTAATGTAATCATAATAGCAGGAAGGAGTTAGTTTTTTACAAAACCTAGGCTATATAATTTCTTAACGCCACCGGCTGCAAAAAAAATATATAAAATAAAGCAAGTAAAACCCGACTTTTGAACTACTGTATGTATTTATAAGGGCTTATTCAGGATTTTCACAAAACATTCAACGTTGCTTAAGGCACTCTGTCCGGACATTTCCAAGCATCACTGGCAGTAGCGGCCGGAGTTTCTTACTGAAAGTTTCACATTGCTGTGCTGCTTTAGAAGATGCTTCAATAAATTACATACAGAATTGTTCACGGCTGAAAGGTTTTTGCTGGTCGCACGAAATTTACAACGGAAGACAATGTTCTTTGCATCTTAGACTGTGACACAACAACGGCAGTAACATTACTTACAGCTGTGGAAAGAACGCCTCTCTCCCTTGTTCTCCATTCTTGCTTTAGCTTCTTGGCTAACAGCTGACTTGAACAACATAAGGTCCGGTGCCGCTGAGCTGCCGCTTCAGTAACGCAGTAAAGCAGCGTTACTTGGATTGGTAACTGTAATAATATTACTGTTTTGGATATGGTAATCCGTTACACTACTAATTACTGGGAAAAGTAATATTATTACAGTAACACATTACTCACCCAACACTGCTCATGTGTGCAGGTATCAGCCAATGCTGATTATCTCAAAATACCAGATATTGGCCACATTAATCAGTAGCCTATGTATGAAATAAGTAGTAAATAAATAAATAATTAAAAACTTAGTCATTTCATCAATCACCTGTTAAGTGTTTTTTTTAAGCCTGTGGGCTGTTCTGACACATGTCAGAATCAGACATTTTGAGTAGTACAGCAGCTCCCCCCCCCACACACACACACACGCACACACACACACGCACACGTACACACAACATCAAAGTACTGTAGCTCAGAGAAGATAGCAGTCAGTGGAGGACTTTTTTGCTGCTTGGAATGAAGTTAGGGTAACTTCAATTTGCCGCAAAATCATTAAAAACAAACTTCCTCATGCTTTTTATGTGCCCCAAGGAGGCTCGAACTCTGAAAGCAGAAGGTGAAAATATGGTCTAACCACTTTTCCACTTTTCAAGCATGAAACCTATGCAACATAGCCTAGGGGAAAACAGAAAATATAAATATTTAATATTTACTAATTATATTCCATTGAAAAGTGTACATTTAAATCACACTGAATTCCAGGACTGTGATGATAATAAAAACCCATTTGCATTATTGCATTATGTACATTACTTACTGTTTGTAGAATTGCATCTGATTCAGTGTTACATTAGAACCACTTCATGTCAGGGTCTTTCCACTGAACAAACACGAATCATGTATAAAAAAACCCCCACTAAAGATCATGTATGTCATGACAGGTAGACAACCTTTGAAAAGAAGAAATACAATGAAAACAATGTCAAATTGTGAAAATATTTTGGAGTAACCGTAGTTGAAATATCACTCCCTTAAACTTGGCAGTACTTTTTTATGATGACAAGTGAACTCCACACACTCCACACTCCAGACTCTATGACCTTGCTAGAACCCCTGTTAGTATCCCCCATGCGCACTGTCTGTGTGAACACACATTACCTAACTACTATTCAACAAGGAAGCAGAGAGCCGGTTGCCATGGAAACTGTCGTGTCAGCTAACCTACTTTCGCATGAACGAAGGACATTGGTCGATGGGAGTGAGGTGTATGGTACGTGGAGAAGATCTACACATACACCCAAATACTCACTACATATTATATTTGATCGTCTGCAGGCAAGCAAGATTTAATCTTTCTCCAGCAAAGCAGCATGGGAGAATTCTTGTGCATGCAGAGAAATGATTGTATGAGTGAAATGAGTCTATGAAACTCTGATGCAGAAGAAAATAGCTACAAAAAATACTAGAATATAGATGCAGTGTCGGGCCAGGTCAAGTTTATTTTCATAGGTTATCACCATGAAAAATTACAGCATGTAAGTAACATGTGCAGTTCAATTGCATCATTACAGCATGTACGTAACATGTGCGGTTCATCTGAATTACAGCATGTAGGTAACATGTACAGTACATTTGAATTACAGTATACGTAACATGTATAGTACATTTGCATCATTACAGCATGTGGTGTGCACGTGCATTAATTGCACAGACCATTCTGGGACACATCTCATTGTGACATCTCAAAGACCCGTTTAACCCTTGTATCTCCAAAATGCTGGTTACCATCCCTAATTGACATGTCTACTATTTAAACAGCATCGACCTTTTTTGTCTGTTATTGAGAGCACTGCGTCCTGTAGGGAGCCCTAACTATGCTGTTTTGCTGCTTAAATGGATTGAGGGTATTTTCATCCAATAATCATTTTTGTTTGCTTCTCCCTGTAGTTCCCCTCTAATTCTGAATCATTGGCTGTGGAGAATTGTATTAAGGCGATGAAACACTGGGCATTAAACATGAGTGGGCATGATAAAGAGAGAGAGAGAGAGAGAGAGAGAGATAGACCATGAGTTTGGGGCTTATTGCCAGCACTTGTGGGCTGCTGCTCTAGTGAGGCATTCAAAATCAGAGCTTGACAACAACAACAACACACACGTATTTAGTTGCAGAATTACTGTAGCATTGCAATGTTCTGCAGCCATGTTGATACAAACAGACCTATAAGAAATGGCAGGTCTCTGTAGATGAAATGCAAGGGGAGTTTTGTCTCACAGCCGAGCTGAAAAAGTGCAAAAACATCTTCAAGTTACTCCATTATTGGTTCAAAAGACTTGACCTTTACTTGTTTTGTGAAGTTTTTTTCTTCCAGTTATGAGTAGAAGCTCCTTCTACATTTTGTTTTCTTTGCATTTTGGGGCACAAAGTGACCTGTTATTTTGCATTTCTAGCCACTAGAAAAGATTGAACTGATTATAATGACACAATATTGTCATTACAAAAAATAACAATACATTTGCAATACTGTGACTTACATATGTTGTTAAATGAATTACAGTATTCAACATTTTCTGAGGAATCAATGTAAATGCTGTGGGTTGCACACTGCACACACACACACACCCTCTTTGTATGCCTAAGCAGTCCACCCTCTGCTTTTCATCGTGGGTGGTAAGTAGCGCGCACCCACCCCTCACCCAGGAAGGCGTCACTCTGTCACACATACACACACACACGGGGGGGGACACATACGCACACATTTGGCTCAATCATTCCCTACCCCTCTAGGGCTGAATGTGAGCGCAGAGCAGGTCTGAACAGGTGGACAGAGCAAAGCAAGCCTGCAGTGATGGCTGAGAAACAACACACACACACAAACACACACACATTTCCTTGTCCTTTAAGACAACACACACACACACACACACACACATTTCCTTGTCCTTTAAGTATTGTGTCCATCAAGGGAAAACTCAGTGGAAATGCTGCGGTTTTAATATTTTCTTATCTTCAAACAATCCCACTGTTTAATTGAGAACAGTCCTGCATCTCACATCTATTATATACATGGTATTATAAATACATCACCTGGCTGCTAATATAGTATCTGTGAATTACAGCGCAATGTCTTATAATGTCTTTTGTTTTATAAGGTTTCACTTGACTACAGTCATCTTTTATTATCCCTTCAGGCAGAAGAATAATGATTGTGTTTTTGTCAGATTTTGCCTACCACATGCATCACTGATGATTCTAGGAAAACCACTTGTATGTCTCTTGTACTTGTTTATAGTCTTATATAATGGGAAATTACAGAGGAATTTCAGTAAAAGACTTTTTGGAGATTTCAATTGTTCAAACAAACAAACAGAAGAAAGTAGAAAAAGATCAGCTGGTTCCCACCAGGCGTCGCAATAAACCAATTTATCCCAAAGCCCCGTGCGTCAGCTGGATGTAGTTACTGAGGTAATGAAAAGGACGTCCATCCTGTCAGGTGGGGATCATACTGGTGAGACGCCACATAAATTCATACCAAAAAGTTTAAGTTTGATTTGGTGTTTGGACTGTCGCCTACACGTAGGACAATCTGTTTGGAAGCACACATTAATGTTCCGTCGTGCTCAAACTTGGGTGACATCTCTCAAAAACGGCGCCTTCATATAGGCTAGTCTTTGAAACTACTGCAGGCCACCTCTGAGGAGGTTGTGAGTGCATTGCTGGTGTCAGCTTGTCTTTGTGGGACACATAACTGGAAACCTTTCAACAACCTCTCAGGGTGGTTAGAAAGGTGTGACACCCAGCCGCGTGCGTCTTTATCAATCAGTCTGTGTGAAGGTGTGAGGAGAGAGAAACCTGAGCTGCTTGTCTCCAGTGGTTTTTGTAGGGCATCTCTCTCTTTCTCCCCTCCCTCTGTTTCTCCCAGTCTGTATCAATATGTCCCTGGTGCGTGAGCGCGCGCCGCAACTCTGATCGGCGCGCGGTTGATGATGATGAGAGCGTGACCTCACCGCTTTCTGCACAGCTGCTGGAGAGCGAGAGAGGGGAGGACAGAGACAGAGAGAGAGCGAGAAACACAAACACGTTGAGGGAGACAGAGAGAGGTACTGAACAGCGGAGAACACCGACAACACAGGGGCACACTGCTCAGCGCGCGGGGACTCTGGTGGGGCGTCCGTTGGCTGTTTCCCGCCGGTCTGCCTCCCAGAATGTTCTGTGCCCCCGGTTCATTTCTACGGTACACGAACCAGTCGCCGCGGCGTCCCCACGGACACTGAAGCCCAGATGCTCACCCTCTCCGCCGACATGGACGAGTCTTCGTCGCTTCTGGATCTGCTGGAGTGCTCGGTGTGCCTGGAGCGCCTGGACACCACGGCCAAGGTGCTGCCGTGCCAGCACACCTTCTGCCGCCGCTGCCTGGAAAACATTGTCAGCTCCCGGAACGAGCTGCGCTGTCCGGAGTGCCGCATCCTTGTGGACTGCGGGGTGGACGACCTGCCGGCTAACATCCTTCTGGTTCGCCTTCTGGACGGTATCAAGCAGCGGCCCCAGCGAGGGAGCGGAGGAGGAGTAGGAGCAGGCGGGAGGCAGTCCCTGGCCGGGGGCTCGCTGCAGGGGTACGCAGCCGGGATATCCGCTTCTCCCCCAGGCAGTGCGATCAGAGAGCTGCCCGTAGCCATCAGGAGCTCCCCTGTTAAGGTCGGTTACTTTCCCACCATCCACGATATGTGCCAGTATCTCTCTCTCTCTCTCTCAGTGGAGCACTAAACACACAAACTATGTTTAAATGTCTCCACCTTTTTATGAATCCTTGTTTATTCACAAAACCCACAAACTTCTTAAATTACGAATTGGAACATTTTGCACATAGTGAGGAGCCTTTTTTCAATTCGGCACACACAAATGACATAAGAACTTTAAGATTAGTTCCCACTGTACGCTGCTGCCCAGTGTAGCAGCAGAATTTGGTGGAAGAAGATGTCAAAGACAATTGTGCAGACCAGTCCCGCACTGTTTATCACTCATGTGTTTTTGAAATCGGGAACAGTGTGTTCAGCATGCTGTCTGCACAGATATTCAGTATGGTTATGTAGTACACCTTTAAAGACTATGCTCTTAATATTCACGTGGTGAGACTGATTGCAGCATTGATTGTTTGATAAGAAGCAAGAAGAACAAAACTTGGTTGAAGAGTCCAAGAGAAAGCAAGAATAAGAAAACATGTCTGTGGTTTTGTCATATCCTTATTGATGACATATCTATTGACTGATATATTTTTTATAGATTGTTTGGCTGACCCGCTGAGCCTGTGATATTCCCTGGTGTGACACTACTTTGGTATCATAATGTCTGACCTGTAATTCCACAGAGGTATAGCCTAATTAAACTGAACTAAATGAGCAAGAGAGGAACAGAGACATACTGTTTGAGAGAGACTGAAAGGGTCACCTGTCTGTGATACTGTTGTTGCCATAGTCCTGGTGAAGCCCAGTTGCCCACAGGCTGTGTGAGGTGTCATAATCCAAACTCAATGGGAGAGGAATGGAGAGCCTTGTTTACTTGCTATGCAGTGCATCCAATGCGTTGTCTCGTGGCTGCAATGTGAGACGTGTTGAAGAATGTGGCTGTAATGTGGGAATTAGACAGAAAATGTGATATCATCAGTGCTGTGCTGCAAAAAAAGAAGATTAGTTGTATTTTTGCATCCAGGTGGAATCTAAAATCTTAAACACAAATCTTGGAAAACAAAAGCTGATGTTGTGAGACAGAAATACCTAGTTTTATTGCAGTTTCACTGATATTTCCTAGATGCTTCAGTATTATAAAGTGCAAAATCTTAATAGATCATTTTTAATTCATAAACATCTTATCGAATGGTTTTACAGTGCAATCTTTACTTTTTTAATCTATGCAATTATGTGTTGCTCAATGCACACCTACAGTAGTAGAGGTGTGTAGACAGGTACCTGACAAAGGTCCATGAAAATAGGCATTTTCTATGAAATGCCACAAATGTAAATTATGTCTCACTTGCAGCCAAGAAATCCCCAGATATTCAATCCACAATCATATCAAACAGAGAAATGAAAGCAGCTCCTAACACTTGAGTGGAATGTCAATATAGATGACAAAGAAACACTAGAGTTAAAAGTTTTTAAAAAATTCTTTGCACAAGAAACAATATTCACGACCTCAATGACAGCTTCATTTTTTTTTTTTACTTTAAAGAAAGAAAAGATTTCCAGACTCAATACTTCATGTTGTAACTTGTTGAGACGGATATACTGTATTTGTCTAAGGTGAGCTTGTGTTGTGTGCTTACTGATAAATGAAATGGGATTTCTCAGAGTTGGAGTGCACGGGGGTGGTCGTGGGCAGGCTTGTTCATGTCTGCCCCCCCCCCCCCCCCTCCCCAACCCCACAGTACTCAGTACAACAAGACTTATCAGGCAAGCTGCCCATTGATTGAGGCAGTGGAGCGCTTTGGTGTGTTGAAGTGCAGCAGTGGTGAGTTGTCACTCATTCACAGCGATGAACAGAAATCCAAACCCTCAGTGACATTTCAACTAACACTCACATTTCAATTCACTCAATAAACTTTACCAGTCCCTACAGGGAAATTTTGATGCCTGGTACATGAAGAAAAAAAGCACACACACAAAAGAGACATGCTGCATTATAGGCTTCAAACAGTAGAAACATGTTTGAATTAGAAATACCACATAACGTCCTATAAAGCCTGATGAACATCTTAAATTTATTTAGTGCGGCCAGCAGCTTAAAATCCAAAGGTATTCACTTTAAGGTGTCATGAAACAGAGAAAAGCACCAGCCACTTCTCACACTGGAAGAGCTGGGACCAAAAATATTTGAATTTTTTATGACATAATTAAAAAAACGAGAGACATATCAGAAGATGTGTGAACACTGTGGCTGAAGGAGTGTTAACCTTAGTAAACACAGTGCACACTTCTTTGTGGTGGCCAGTCTGTGTTTGTGTTAGGACCCCATGTGGTGAGTGGAAGTAGCCTTTAGTGCCAGTGAACACACACACACACACTCACATGCACACACTCACATGCACGCACACACACACACCTATAACCCATTACCCTCTGCAATCCCCTGCAGTCATTTTGCCCAAGTCCCCTCCAGGCTCCCTTGGGACCAAGGCTTGGGGATGAAAGTGTGAATTAATCTCCTTTAACAGCGGGGTGTGTGTGAGCAGGGGTCTCGCAAAGGGAGTTAAATATGTCTTTGAGTGACACTCTAATGCAGTACTGCCACAGTTATTGAAGGAGTCACACGGGTCAATCAGAGCACTCTAGATCAGACATTAAGACTTGTAGATGGGAATGAATGTGTTGCTATGGAAAGAGGAGAAGAGGCGGACGTGCTGAGTCAGCAGCAAGACCAGCCTTTTCCCCCTGCTGTTTGTGCTCTTTGAGCCTCTGTTGCCGACTTTGTGCTTTGACTAATAAGAGTTTGTCAAGACTGATAGTTTCTTTGTATTTTTTTGCCAATGAATGTGTGAAATGGCAATCTAAAATACCTGCATATGAATAATTTTAACACAGAGAATTAATTTGCATTTTTCATAGCAATATATCACTACACATTGTTAGTGTTATTTTCTCGAATCGGGTACTGGGTTATTCAAGCAGTCATTCACTTGTATTATATGGTACTTTTTCTTTTTGTCTTGGTCTTTGTTTTTTGCTGTTTAACCTTAAAGAAGAAATGTTGAATCAAATTGGGAACCTCCAGGTCTGAAAAGTGAAGCCAATGTTAAGGGTCTGTATCCACCAAAGCATTTACATAATTTCCGCCTACTTGCTCTGGCCTTTGCGCTGCATGAAAAGAAGGCTGAAACATGAGAGCACAGACTGTCCGTACTCGGGTTAATGAGATTTTGCGGGCGAGGAAACACCTCGGCGAGTAGGCACATCGTTTCGTTCAAGATCGGATGTGCTCGGTGCGGTGTTTGTCCCGTCCCTCCTGGACTGTGATTGGACGGCTGGGTAAAAAGTGACAGTGATGAGCTCAGCGTTTTTCCCAAAGTTGAACATTTTTCAACTCTCAGCAACCTGCATACTTTCTAACAGCCCACAGGGGGCGACTCCACTGGTTGCCAAAAGAAGTCAGATTGCATTACAATTGCACCTGGCAAAATGAGCGTACTTCTCACCTGATTTATTACTTCAGTAAACACTTTCATAATGAGTTTTTGTTCTCAACCGTTTGTTTCAAGTCTTCAATACAGCAAGACGTTCATTTAGTAGATTATGGTCCCATTTAGAGGAAAATAGACGTAAAAGCAGGGTATCCTTTAGGGCATGGCTATCTTGTGATTGTCAAGTCGCTACCATGGCAATGTGTCAATCAGGCTAGAGGCAACTCTGTGTACATTTGACCAGCACCTTTGAAAAAGCTTATTAGGGGTTGACTGTTTATTTTTCTGGTAATTACATTTTGTTTTAAGCCTGTTATTTACCAGCCAAAATCCCAGTTAATATCCCAGGTGAATTAAGTGTGCATCTTGCTAAACAACCTAGCAAGCGCCATTCTCTCGTCCAAATATGGTCACGTCCGGTGTATGGTTTCAAAAAACCAAGACGGCCAAAATACCCAAGTCAAGGCTTCAAACGGTAGTCCACAAACCAATGAGTGACGTCATGATGACTACGTCCACCTCTTTTATACAGCCCATGGTTGAGCCTGTTAACAGTAACAAGATAACTTTGGCAACCCTAGTCCCTCAGTGGCTCTGTTGTACGTCAGCTGTTGCAGAGATGACTCGCCACTTCACAGACAGCAGTGTGAAGACACATAAAGTATACAAACAGAAGAGGTGTTTTAACAATGTAACAGTGTCATCCTCCTTTATTTTCAGCAGACTTGGACTGCTAGTCACTTGAATGAAATTCTTTTGTTGTTAAAAAGTAAAATAGATTGGTGTATGCCACAGGAGAAGGAATCAGATTTTCCTGACATTACACTGGTAAATTATGTGATTGTGATCCACTTTTTTCCTTAGTCTTTAGTAACATGACACACCGGTTGATACTGCACACCTCCTGTATAGCTATGAGGGCTGTTTCTGTTACTACTGCCAATGATGTTGGTTGTTGGTGTGTTGGTTTGAAATCTGGCACATATATGTCACAATTGTGTATCATTCTGTGTATTCTGCAATTCAGTCAACAGATTTTTAAAACACTCTGTTATTGCTGACATAACAAAATTACAGGATTATGCAGCCTTGGTGGAGATATGTTCTCTCTAAGCGCTTTCTAGTTTCTAGCGAATTTGTTTCTATGATGACAAGAAAAACACTTCAGTCTTTTTTCCATGTGATTCCTGCACATTTCCAGCATGGCCTTGGTCAAATGCAACACATACAGAGCAATACATTCTTAGAAACAGTTCACTCCGTTGTGGTCCCATTTTCCCACAGTACAGCGTGCTTATTTTAGAATGATGTATTGATGTAATTACCCTGTACTTAGGGACCCCTAGATTTAACTAACTGGGTAAACTATACCTCCAGACAATAGAGAATATAGTTTGAGACGCCTTCTGCATTGATTTGCTTTGGTTTGATCAGAATGTTTTCAGTTGTCAATAAAGTTTGAAAATATTCTACAGACAAATACTCAAGACTATATATACCAGGGTCATTACAATGTTACGACACTGATGGATGACTCTCCCTGATTTATGATTTTTTACTGGCCTTTGCTGCTCAGCCTCTTGGAGTCTGTTGTTTTTTGAGATTTGGGGGTTTATGGATTATGTGGTGTCTCTTTTACACCTTCCTGACTAACCCAGGTTCCTGTTTGGTATTCATAATGCTTATCTTCTATAATCAGTCTGTCAAGGATACATTTGTACAAGTGTCTGTGAGGGGATTAATTTTGCACTGTGCTGAAAATATTAAATATCTTATATTTGATCATTTTTTAATGTTCAAACAGGAACAAGAATCCAATATATTCCACAGAAAGACGTTCTTGTCAAATACAGACCACTCTGCCTGTCCAATTCCCATCAAAGCAGTGTGTCATAATAATCCCAACCCTTGATCTTCTCCCTTACCTGTATTTACCTTGGGTTGTTGTGCCGACGCCCGAGGTCACCACGGCAACGTACTGAAGCAAGGACGCCACCTGCTTTCATCTCTTGAGTGAGACAATGCTTTGCCCTGTCATTCCCGTGTGTGTGTGTGTGTGTGTGTGTGTGTGTGTGTGAGGATTAGGTGGTAGTTCAGGAAACAGTTACCAATCCCTGTAATGATCCTTTGAACCTGTGTCTTTTGTATTACATTGTACTGGACACACACACACACACACAAGGCCTAACCTTAACCTAAACCTAATTCTAACCTCAGCCTGAAAACCAAGTCTTTTCAGCGTACTATATAATTTACACGTCCCTTTTCACGTGTGATTTCTTGACATAACGTGGTTTGGAGACCAGTCGGCGGGTGACAAAGACGGTGTCAGCTCGTGTAGTGTGTGATTTCCTGTCGCTGATCAGTCACGCAGTGTGAACGCCACAACGACTTCAAGATTATATCACAAGA